CGCAGCGGATTGGCTGATGCATGCTACGCATGACTTGGAAACAGTCAAAATAGGGTTGGGGAAGGGTAGTAACAACATGCGAAGGAAATTCACCTTCTGGTCATTTCGGGAGGGATGTTATGCACTAATAGCCAATAGACATAGGCGGCTTATAATAGGGTTTGATGATTAATAGAGCAAGTCCAAAGATAAGGCTGTTCTACTACAAATTTCTCAGTGACTCATCAAGGTCGACAGCCACCAGATTCCTTTAATAAAGAAGTGTAAGCGGAGGAAAGTTAGCAGAACATTTCGGGGAGTTCCAAAGTCTCGAGAATGTTTCAATACAGAGAGGGGTATCTCAAATGGTCATAGTTGTTTACTTAGATCACTGGAGATAGGGGTGGCCAACAGATCCAAGTCGGCGACCCAAAGAAATAAAACCGGAACAGATTTATGAGGCGAAACAGCAGCAACATTCTACAGCGGTCGGGGCAATTGAAAGCAAGTAATTATACCAGAAAAGTGACGACGCCCACTTGGAGCGGAGGACAGGAAAGAAAACTAGTTTCCTAGTGTCGGCTGACCCGGTGGCACCCGAGCATCAATGGGCAGGAACCGACCGTACTGCTGTAGCCTGGGGTCGTCATCCATGACGCCCCTGCAACCACTGTGCGAGACCAAGATAGGAAGTCCCGGGTGACAAACCAATGCCACTCAAATGGAGCGACGAATGTGGCCCGCCAGAGGCGGTAGACTACCTTTGAGATGGTGTGGCAAGGAAACTGCAGATGTGGAACTTAAAAGATACATCTTTCAACTGCCACAGCGATATGTCCGATGTTTGCATGGCTCGGCGTCGCCACCTAACAGAGGGATCAATCCATGAAAACTTAGACGGTGTGTGCGGCAGTCTGACATGCCAGCTACCACTGTAGACCACAAGAACTGGGGCGAAGCTGGCAACAAGTAAGTAGGGGCACAGATATTATTCACAGCCGGTAATGGGAACCAACGTAAGGGACACTTGGGGTACGTGATCAAATAGTTTTATTAGGCTAAATGCATACTAGACAGTCCTTTCACGGGAGATGAGTGACCAAGGCAGTTAGCTTAAGCCTCTAACCACAAAAACAGCTGACTCCCGTTGGCCAAAAGCTTTGACTCAATTAAGTAATTTGCCCAGTTATTCGAAGTGCGTAAAACTGTAAGGCACATATTGGAATAAATCAGAGGGGAGTAAATTACTGACCGACGTTAAAATTGATGCGTTTGTTTCTCCCACTTCAAGGGCCCGCCGATCTGTTTCTTCGACCTCAGCGACTGAACTGCAAAATGTGCAATACTCTCACGGGTTCACGCGGCTGAGCCATTGGCATGAGGTGGTGGTGCACACTACCGACCAAGGGGATTTAACTGAATTGGTAGTCACTAGAACCTCTTGTTTTTTACCTAAAAATGACTATATTACCAGTCTTGTATCCTTTGGCGTCGGCCAGTTTCCAGTCTGATTAAGAATACTGACCGTAATAAGCGCAGTAAACTCCCGGTACTTCATCTTATTTTAAATATTTACCTAAGGTAGACGGATGACTCAAATAAGGCGTAGTTACTCTACTGCCTACCTCAGACCTAACGCTTTACAACCTCATCAGAATCAACGCCCAAATATTTGGCTTTCAACACTGCTTAGATCTCCCCGTAAGAAATGTTATGTTTATGCCCACTTACATACTGGGTTTTGGTAACAATTGGGAGATGGCATTCAAAAAACTCCGTTACCGATGAGAATATGCCAGAGGACTGCATGAGTGTTCGTCCACAGGCTGATGAAAGGAATAAAATAAGGGTATTTTAATGAGGGCCGAAAAACTTTAAAAGCATACAATCCTAGACAGACGGTGTCTTCAGCTAAGCAATTTCACAAAATGGCAACTCTCGTCGGGGTCAGGAGCGGCGATGTTTTCAATCACGTCCTCTGTGTTTATTGAACGTGCAGTTTTGAAAGCGAGGATATGAAGGCATAGGGTCATGAACAGCACAACGTAGAACGTTTCCTTTAGCCAACTGCATTCCGCTTTCAATCCTTTATTTAAAAAAGCAATTAAGCAGGGAATACGAGCTGGCTCGACTTCATATTATCTGCCTCTTCAAGTAAATCCGACACCGCGCACATTTTTGTTGCCATATAGTGATGAGGTTAAACTTTATCGTTCGAAAAGCCATTTCTGAAAAAACTTCTTAGTATTATTTATATTTATCCACTCAATCGAAGGCCCCACCCGTAAAACCCTTATTACCACCTGTCCCGTAAGACAGGCTGCTTTGGTTGGGCGGATTGTTTTGGGTGTCATCTCCCAATTGTTACCCTGGTTTTTTCCGAATTTTCTCTAGAGATACACCAAACCATTTGAAAGCATTAAGTGCAAGACATGGTGTGAGAGCTGCTTTTGCCTTCTCGTTTGGTAGGGAATGGTTCGCTTGTTGAACAAACGGGTCACAGGAAAGGTAATGTGCATTCAATGTGGAGTGACCAAATTACTATAAGCCAGACAAGCTCCATGTTGTACGTCCGCCGTGATGGAGCCGACGCATCCAGTGACACCATGCTGCCCGGACGATCTTTATTTGGAATATGCACTTTCGGTAGTTCTCGTACATAAGGGGAATATGGGGCAAAGTTCACTGTTTTAAACACTAGCAGCATACTATTCCAACGAAACGGCAACGGGCTAAGTCTGGTGGTTCAACTGTCGCAAGCAATAAAGACAGTCTCTGCCGTACCGGCTAGGCAAGTCCTGGCTTGTGCGGATCTGTCTATAGTGGAGCGAACATTCGATGAATCTCACCCATTCTCGCCTGCAACGCCCACCCTGCTAGATGTAGAGGTGTCCAGTTGTAGGTTCACATGAAGATCGCAAAAGGTTGCCCATTTGCATGCAGGTCCTGACTACGCCTAGCGTCCAATAACTGTCAATCAACTCTCACATGTGGCTCCCTAAAGTTAGGCTCTGTCTAGCGGCCAAACCCCGGTAATCGCCTCGACCGGTGGGCTAAACCTAATGAGGGTATCCGTGTGTACAGCCGCTAACCGTACGGACCACTGCATTGCCATCTCTAAGATGAGGCTCCGTTTGCAACCCCACAGGAAGCCACATGGAAAGTGGCTTCCTAAGTAAGCTGAATACCACTTGGTTGTCTTTGCCTGCTCACTCCTGCTAGCAAGCTATTGGTCCAGTGGCTGAGAGACCTGCCTCATTCTACGCCTGCGCACCTTTTTCCCGCTCCTCTCCGCCCTACGTTCTCCCTACTCTACTATCTTACCCTACGGTCGAAAGTTCTACGGCGAGGGCGACAAGCAATCTCGTAGGCGGCCCAGGTCACTGGCTGTTCCCTCGCTAAACTCCCTAACACATAGTGAAGAGCGTTATCCGTCCGATGCGACGAAACAGCCCTATTTAAGGAGAGCACTGCTTTCCTCCGTTAGGTGGAGGGGGCAACAAAAGGTGCCCTAAACAAAGCTGGGTTCACGACATCTGCTCGCAGACCATGGCTCGCAGACTGCTTAACACATGGTCGGCACCAAAGCATGTGGCAAAATACTTTCTTTCTTCTTTTTCCTCCTCCTCCTCCTACTCCTCCTCCTCCTCCTCCTCCTCCTCCTCCTCCTCCTCTTCTCCACCCCACCCCTTAGGCTGCTAGGCTGAGTCCACTCATCCTGACAGCCTATAATGTTCATTCCCTTTTATATAATCATAGGAACAACCGGGCGGAAAGATGGATGGCTCTAGTCGCTCAGGAACTGGCGTGCTACAAGGTGGACATCGCTGCACTCAGCGAGACCCGGTTCTCCGAATAATGCTAACTTGAGAAGGTGGATGATGGCTACAACTTCTTCTGTAGCGGTCGCCCAGGGTAGAGCGACGTGGCGCGGGCATCGCCTTTGCCATCAGAAACGACATCGTCGGACGACTGTCTCGTCTGCCGCAGGGCATCAACGATCGACTGACGAGCCCCAATCTGCCTCTTCGGGGATCCAACTTCGTCTTATCATCAGCGCCTGCGCCCCAACAATTACCGACTCAGACAAAACGAAGTCCAAGTTCTACGAAAACCTGCACGCCCTCCTGGCGTCTGTGCCGAAAATGGATAATTTGACTGTCCTTGGTGACTTCAGCGCCCGCGTCGGCACAAACCATTCTGCCTGGGAAGGAGTGCTGTGTCCCTACGGAATCGTCCGCTGCAACGACAATGGCCTCCTCCTCCTCCTGCGAGCCTGCGCTGAGTACCGTCTCCTGCTGACCAACCTATTCTTCCGCCTGAAGATGGGGAAGAAGTCCACCTGGATTAACCTCCGATCGCAGCGCTGGCAGCTGCTGGACTATGTTCTCGTCCGGCGGCGAGATCAGCTGGACGTGATGGTGACCAAGGCGATCTTCAAGACTGATGGCTTGACAGGTCATCGCCTCGTCATCTCCGAGATGCGGCTTCGTCTACAACCCTACAGGAGACCATAAGGTAAGCGACCTCTAGGTAAGCTGAATACCGCTTAGTTGTCTTTGTCTGCCCACCGTTTACATTTCAGCAGTCAACAGACCCAGCGGCTGGAAGAACTGCCAGCTTCAGATAAAAACGCCCCAGTGGAGACTCGATGGTGCCAACTACGGGATGCCGTTCAATTGGACGTCCTGGCTGCTCCCCGTCGCGCGCGTCGCCATTACCACGACTTATTCGACGGTAACGACGCAGCCATCAGTAACCGGCTTGTCAAGAAGAATAGACTGCACAGAGCCTATCTCGACCGTTCAACTGACGCGAACAAAGCAACCTTCTACCAATATCTCCCCTTGCTCAGCGACGGTTGCGAGAAATAAGGATGCCTGGATAACTTGCAAGGCCGAGGAGATCCAGGGATATGCCTACCGTAACGAACCAAAGAACTTCTTTGCTGCGATCAAGGCCTCCAACGAGGGGAACCGCGCTACTTCTAAGCTCCGATGGATCAACGCTTTTGGCGGAGAAGTCACAGATTCTGAAGTACTGGGCTGAACACTTCAGAAGCGTCCTCAACCGTCCCTCCACAATATCCGACGCCACCGTCAACCGACTTCCCCATGTAGAAACCAACACCGATCTGGATCTTATGCCCTCACACCCAGGAACCACCCTCACCGCACAACAATTCCTGAGGGAGGAAGCACCCGGCTCTGATGAGATCCCAACTAAATTCTACAAGCATGGCGACTACCGGCTGGTGGACCAGCTGACGGCGCTATTTCAGGAAGTTTAGCGCTGAGGGCAGGTTCTCCAGGATTTCAAGGACGCAACCATCGTCCATCTGTACAAGAGCAAAGGGAACCGGCAACTCTTCAGCAGTCAGAGAGGCATCTCGCTACTTAACATCGCCGGGAAGATCTTTGCTCGCATCCTCAATCATCTCAACAGCCACCCAGAGCAAGAACTTCTGACGAAAAGCCAATGTAGATTTCGGTGACACACGTAACCTCTGATATGATCTTTGCCGCCCGTCAGGTACAAGTGAAGTGCCTGGAGATGCAGACTACCCCCTAAACCAACTACGTGGATCAAACGAAAGCCTTCGATACGATGCGTTGTGAGGGACTGTGGAAAATCATGCGGAAATTCGGCTGTCCTGAGTGCTTCGCGCACGTGGCATGTCAGCCCCACGACAGGATGATGGCGCGCGTCACGGACAACGGCGCAATCTCCGAGGCATTCACAGTGACCAATGGAACGAATCAGGAAATAATAAAGAAGCTCAACCACTTCCACCTCATTTGCCTTCGCAGAATTCTAAAGCTGGAATGGTGAGACAGGATCGCAGACATGGAAGCTCTAGAATGAAGCGGAATCCCCAGTATCCACGCCATGCTGAGGCAGCTGCAACTACATCAGAGCCGCCAGCTCGTGCGGATGGAAGATGCACATCTACCGAAACACCTCTTCTATGGTGATTTCGTCACGGTGCTCGCCGACCTGGAGGACCAAAACGACGCTACAAGAAGACACTGGAGAATCCTCCTAAGTGACTGCATATTAATCTAGAGACCTGGGAGGACTTCGCCTAGAACGGAGCGGCCTGGAGAAGAGAAGTGAAGACCGGCGTTGCCATCTACGACGCAAATTGGATCGCCGCCGCCAAAGCTAAACAAGAGGCTCACCCCCTTAGTGCCAGCCATTCGCCGCTTCTAACATGCCTTCGCTGCCAACGCGCATTCCGCACATGAATCGTCCTCGTTGCACATCTTCGGATCCAATGCGCCATCAGGCCGACAACGTCTACCTCTTCTTCCACTCTCGCTCCTGCCGCAAACCCCGCTCCGGCCGCCATCACCGCCACCGCCGATCATACTGTCACTGTCCCGCCGCTACTGGCCACCGACAACATTTGCCCTGCCCCAATGCCTGCATCAACTGCACGGGGCCAGTGTCACCGCCACCACGACACCACGCACTCCCCTCGCCAATGGGACGACGTCTGATGTCCCATCACCTCCCACCATCACTACCGACACTCCCATTTCCACCGATGTGAGCTCGGTTAATACCTATCTCCATTGCGACCGCACATTCACCTCACCCATCGGCCTGGTTGGTCATTTGCGAATCTATTGCACAGAGACTGGCGAACCAATGTCTGGGGCACCGATTTACACTCATCGCAGTCGCCTAAACTCCCCTCACTGTTTCCGTACATTCACTCACCGCGGGGGCCTATATGGTCATATGTGCATTTACCAAAATCTGCGATAGACAGTCGCCGGTTATATCCCACATCCCCCACCAACAACCGTCCCGTGCAACAATATCACCACTGCAAGCATTCGATTGCCACATCCCACGTAAGTGAGAAGTGGGCCTCTCGGCTCCATCTCCCCACGGCCACTCTACTGCATGTGTGATCCGAGTCTAGGAATATCGGGGTGCGCCAAGCGCCGCGGCTCGGAAGGCTGCCGACTGGAGCCTCAACTCAGTCCACGCAGTCTGTCCAGTTGTGCGCGTTTGTGTGGGGTGACGGACTGGTGGGCTGAAAGGAAGGCTGTCATGGCTTCTTCTTCTTAAATTGACCCGTGGCTCACTCACGTGAGAAGTGTGTGTTACTTAGTAGGTAGTGACTTTAAGTCGCCGACTGACTCATTACCCACCCTTTGAAGGGTGATAGTCCAGGCAAATACCGGGCTGTGTGCCGCCCTTCTGGGCCCCAGAATTTGTGAGTGTCTGCTTTGCCATGACCAGCAAATCATGACACTCGCAGCCTGGTGCGCGCTGACAGTTCTTCGGTACCTGGCTCTTTGATGGTGGATGCGCTTCCGCTGCCGCTGGGTATACAGATCGCGTGCATGGCTGCCCAGTCATCCACGTCTTTTCTGTTGTTGTTGGTCAAAATCCTGGCCAAGTGTTTGCTGTGGACCAGGAGGTGTGGAGTGGACGCCGAGGTGCGGGTTCGGCCGTGCCATCCAGCGGCGCCCTTCCTGTCTCGGTTGTCTTGACTCTGTTTTGACAGCAGGTTCAGGTAGGGAGGAATAGAGAGTGCGGTAGCTGCTGCGAAAGTCTACTCTCACTATAAACTAATTTGTGTGCAAATCACCGTCTCTGATTCACCTTGCTGTGGAACACACGGTGGATGTCGTCGGATACGACTGCCGAAATTTTAACCACCGTACTCTGCTGACAAGTCGGAATCAGGAAGACTGATGCCATGATACAGTGGACCAGGCTAAACAGCTCGTTCATGTTTGTCAGACACGATCTGGCTCATAACTTTTGCTGTGTTATTACTGACAAAGACAAGGGAGACTGGAATGGCCATTTCTAGCTTATTAGCCGTCGTCAGCCAGTCATACCCAACCCCGAAGTGGGGAACACCCGACGCTCGCACTCGCGAACTGTTAGAAGTCCACGCCTCTAACCACTGGGCCACGAGCCCGTTGCTCTGTCAGTTTCGATCGCGAACGATCGGTGAGCGCCCCCTACCACCACTTTTGCTATGCTCGAATCTCACAGGCATGAGAGGTGCGGTGGAGGCCACGCTAAGTAGACATAACAATCCGATCTTCAGTCCTGAATATGTCCGACTAATCCTGCCAATAGGCAACGACTAAAGTCACGGCTGTTATAACATCGGGATAGCTTCACAGTGTGCCTGATTGCTTACAGTTAGGAGGCCAAACACTGGGTCCGAGCTACAGTAAATGACCGATCTCATGAAATGTTGGCTGAAATTCTGAAATGCGTTTTCGACTAGGACGGATTACTTAGGCGCGGTTGTAATACGGATTATCTTGCGGCATAATCCTATAATATTTCGGACTCGGCGGGATGTCGGCTTTTGAATGCACTGCTTTTCAATCTCCTGTGGAAACCGTGCTCGGTAACAAATGAATACTTAAGTGGCATGCATCTTCGTCCTTGATTTTCGGTGATCTTGCAAATTCAAATATATTTTATAGAAATCAAGAAACAAAAATGTACTTTCTTCCAGTCGCTTGATAGAGAGTCACGTCAGTTTCAGATTTTATACTCGAAGAAGGAGTATAATTGGGTTTTAAAAAGGTTCTAATCGTCCGATTTTTTGAGACCGCGCAATGTCCATTCATATAGCATCACGCCTGTCCGTTAACCCCTGCTTCTCATGTAATGTGTAACATAGTCCGCATCCATTGCAAAATTTTATAGACTTCATATGATATCTTTCTAAAGACATAGAAGAATATGTAACTATGTTTAAGCAGAGCGCATGCACCATGTAGATTGCAATCATAAAGCGCTAATACAAGGACTGGTCATGCTCCAAATTATATGGCGATTAGAAGACTTTTTCAAAGCCTTATTAACTCCTTCTTCGAGTATAAAATATGAAGATGACGTGATTGTCTATCAAACGACTGAAAGAAGGCCTATTTTTGTTCTTAGTTTCTATAATATATATTTGAATTTACAAGATCACCAAAAATCAACGGCGAAAAATGCATGCTACTTAAGTAGTAATTTGTTGCTGAGTGCGCCTTCCACAGGAGTTTTAAAAGCAGTGTATTCAAAAGCTGGCATCCTGCTGAGTCCGAAATATTATACGATTATGCTGCAAGATAATCAGCATTACAATTGCGCCTAAGTAATCATTCATAATCAAAAACGAATTTCTGAATTTCAGCCATTTCATGAGATCGGTCACTCACCGTACGTTGAATTCATTCCCGTCTCTCTCCTACGTATGACGTGAAGACCGTCGCAAGCGACAACATCCAAGGAAGGAGACATAACACTGGTGACCTGCGCGTAAATTAATTTATGGTTTGACACACTTACGCAACACCCACCTCGCACTGTCCAAACGACCGGAGGTGAGTACACGCGTAGTGGATGTCAATGCCACCCTGTAGGAATAGGCGTGCCACACACAACCTGCTCCGTACAACATGCACTGCGCTTTTTCAGGGTTGGCTCGGATCTCACTTGAGTGAGGGTGCCGTAAAAACCACAATGGGAGGTAGCATTG